TACCTGATTGCGTCCAAGAACCACAATCAGCCTGAAGAAGAAAAATGCAGCTTCTTCTTAAGCTGCTGCGGCCCCGCAATGTTCGCGTCAGCCAGAGCCTTAGCCGCCCCTCGACCAGTGTACCAGCTCAGCTGGGACACGCTGATGACCGGCTTAAAGGCCACTACGCCCTGGCACCATCCCTCATCGCTCACCGCTTCGTTTTCCGCCGCCGCGTGCAGAGCCAACAAAGAGGATCAGCCAATTCCTGGAGTCGCTCCACATAACAGTGGCTCAGTGTGACTTCCAGAATTTGGACGAGAACTTGGTTGAACAGTTTGTGTGCGGCGTGAAGGACATAAATCTGAGAAGCTGCCTTTTGCGGCACCACGACATCACCATGCAGCAGCCCGTGGAGGCTTCCAGAGCAGCGGAGCTCTCTGAGCAGTCCACGGCCGACATGGAACACCTGCAGCTGGCATCTCCTACGATGCCGGAGTGCCCTCCACCTGCCGCGCAAGCCTGCCTGGTCGATGAACTGTTGCCGCCCGAGGATCCCTGCAATGAAGTTGTTGGCCAGCTCAGGGCACAGCCCAGGCGTCCACCACCACCGACACCTCCTGCTGCCCTTTCTGCAACTTTGTGTGTTGGTTGTGGCGGCCGCCATGCCCGCACGGCTTGCCCTTTTAAAAGCACCGTCTGCCGTCGCTGCTCTAAAAAAGGGCACATTGCCCAGGTTTGCCGTGCTTCTCTACCTGCGCCATCCTTCCTACAGCAGCCAGCCGCATCCCAAGCGCAGCCGTGCCGCCAACCGCTGCGGCCCGCTCGGCGGGCTGAAGACTGCCACACCATTTACCAGCCAGAGATCGCCAGTGAAACCATCAGCCAGGCGTCCGCCGGAGCCCGAAAGGTTTCTGCCTCGCTCCAACTGGAAGGACACCCAATTGTGGTCCCAGTCAAACCAGACGGGTCGGTGTGGATCTGCGCCGACTACAAGTCAATGATCAACCTTGCCCTTCAGGCAAACCCCTATCCAGTCCCTGTGGTGCAGCACCTGCTCCATTCCCTGGGGCAGGGCTGCACATTTGCAAAACTGGATACGCACAAG